CTGCTGATACTGTGATGGATGGGGGCTCAGGCCATGACACGGATTGCGAGCTTAGGCGGGCGTGGCCGGGCGGAGCTGCGCCTGGCTGCGCCTGGCTGGGCCGGGCTGCCTGGGCCCCGCGGGGGACGCCGCCCCGGACGCGCACGCGTGCCAAACATACAGGGTGGGGCCGCTCGGCGGCAGCAGCACTGCGCGCCAAATTCGGCCTCCAGAGATGCGGCGCCGTTCAAACAGGGCGTGCGTGTTTTCCGGCGGGAGGGCTCATGCGAGGAATAACGGGTTTTGCGAGTGGGTTTTGTTCTCAGTAAAAATGAATAACCCGGTAAGAGGCCGTTTGCGACTACCTGCTGCTGGAATCAAGTAGATAAGTGTCTGGAGCAAAATTGTTCTGGACCATCCGTGCTGTGCTTACTCAAAAACGAACAGTTCACGGAGGTTTCCTGTTTCGCATGTGCAGCCCGTAGGCGCTGAGTATCGTATAGAGGTATTGAATGGCCCCTCTTCGCCGTCTACAAGCTTTCTCCATAAGACCTCTTGTGTCCCAGAGTTTGTGACGTGTTTTCCTCCTTGAATACGTGAGGTAAATGCATCTGGCTCAAGTCCACGGCATGATAAAAGGTACTCCGGAAGCCGGGTTTTCCTCGGCTTGAAGGGGAGGGAGCACCCCCGCAGAGAGCTCGTTTGAAGAGCCATCAAATCGAGGGTGGCTGCGTGCACCCCGCGTGCCCCGGGCTGACGGGTCACCCACCGGACTCATTCTGGGACTCTCTCTCACTCATGTGGTCCCAGTAAGGGTGCGAGAGGGACCGAGGCCTGGCACTCGCCTCGGAGTCGGCCTGCTGCCCTCTGAGGGCCCCGTGCGGATGAGCGCGTCATGCGAGTGACTCGCCGACTCTGGGGATCGGACTTCCCACTCGTGTGTGCGTCCATGTGCTGGTGGGCGTGGGCGTGTATTTGTGTCAGCAGGCCCTCTCATTCATCGGAGACGGACTGTGTCCCATTCTTAGGAAGCCCCGCCCCCGTACAGTAGGTCAGGTACCCGTAATCAGGATCAACTGGAAACACAGGACAGTGCCCGCCGTCTAGAAAGGATCGGCCGGGAGTTTAACAAAGCCATAAATTTGACGTGCGACTCTCTCAAGTCGTCGTCGCTCGGCTGCGACCCATCAGCGATCATCTGCTGCCGTTTGCAGCGGCGCGTGAGTCGCTGGGCTGAGCGGCGTGCGGCTCTCATTTCAAGCTCGGCCGGCCTCATAAACGCAGCCGATGTCTCTTGCTCCGCGGCCCGCGCCTCGCGCCCCGCGTCGCCTCCCGTCGCCCACGGACGTCTCAAGATAGTTGCCAGACGTGGAGGGAGATGCCGCAACTTGCAGTGTCACCGCCGCGGCGTCGGCCCTAGTTTCACCGCCGTACCCCCTTTCTGCTACCCGGCCACATGCAACCAAGTTTGCTCGTAAAATTCAACTAAAAAGGCCTAGGCCTGCCTGCTTTTGTAAAGTTTCGGTGGGGGGGCTGTTTAGTGGCTATGCGTTGAGTATGGCGTGCGCGGAGAAAAGCCAGTTTTGTTTCGCCGCGTCAAGTACCCGCGCCGTTTTCACACATTTTCTTTAGTGGCCAAGTTTGGCGGCGGCGGGCCACCGCGGGGCGGCAGTGACCCGCGAAGCGCGCAGCGCGCGAGGCGTAATACTTACTGATTTCAACTTTGGCCCTTGGGTCAAGGGGTGAAGGGCCACAGGGCCGCGGGCCGTGGCAAGGAGGCGGCCCTCCGAAAGACTCGGCACTAATGAATTATACGCCGAGAAGACGTTGTTTAGACGCAAAGAATGGCCCCGGGAGACGCGCGAGCAGGTAATTTTAAGTGAGGCGTAACTCATGAAGGGGCGCGTAAAAAGTCCCCGCTGAGAGCAGAGACGTCAAAATAGTCCGCCGCTGCTGCTGCTTCTGCTGTTGCTCGCTGCTGCCGCCACTACTTCTACGGTTGCGGCCCCTCCGCGCTGCCGTGCTCCCCGACCAGCAGCCCTACAGTAATTTACGTCAACTGGAGGGAAAAAAAGAAGCAGCCCAAATGAAAAGGGACACGGAGCGCAAACCGTTTAAAGATTTCCCTCCGCTTTGCTCAGCTTGGCCTAGTCAGTGTCATTCTCTCAGCTGTCCTTCGCGGAGGCAATTAGACCGATCGCCATGAATAAAGATGAAAGAGGCGTGTGGGTTGCAGGCCGGAAATGCTTCATGACGAGGACGAAATGGGACAGAAGCCGGAAATGTTGCGACGAGTGCATGGCACTCGCCGTTAATGGCTAGTCTCATGACGGCCGCGTTGGATTGCACTTCAACATCCGAGGAAAAGCCATGAACCGTTGTGTGTAGGAAGGAAACGTTACCAAATTGGTGTGGGCACAGTGTGGGCCGAGAATAGTGCAGAGTGTTTTGGAGGGAGCGACTTGCTGAACTTAAGATAGGACCGTGCAAAGACTATCGAACGAACAGCACCTAACACTTCGGTACGGGTGAGAACCGATTGAAACAATGCGTCTGTTGTACCCCGCGGGGTCTTTAACCTCCCTCTCGCGGCCATGCCGCTGGGAAGATGTGCAAAGTTTCCACCACCACGTGATCAAGTGGGGGCAATTCCGGCGCGCAGCATCCGAGCAGCGGGATGCAATCTCGCATTCAAACGAGATTCCGTACCTTTTAGGCGCCCCTTTCCGAAACATCGCACTGGGCCGTCTCTCTGTTGCGATCGAATCTCGGGACGGTGGCGCCTTGAGCGGTGCCTTGCCCCGGGGATAGCCGCTCCCGCCGCCCCCGGTCGGTGGCCAGCACTTGGCTGACGTCAGAGTGTGTTCCACTACGTCGGTCCCGGTCGGACCCGTTCCGCGCGATCTCCAGCACCGATTTGCGCGGTTCGGTCACCCCTTGGTCGTTCTGGCTACGCAGGCGTTTAGCCGGGTGTGGCGCGAGGGAAAAAAATCGATGGCGTGCGCTTCGATACCTTGGACCGAATGCAGGCGGGTCGACCCTCCGCTATCTCGCCCTGCGCCCTGCCTCGAATATTTTCGGATTCCAGCAGACAAAAGTTCTTGCTGCGGCAAAAGTGAGCCAGTCCAACACTACTTGATTATACTACAGCCAGTTTTTTTGTAGTTCTAACTGAAATCTTAATAAATTTCAGTCATTATTAACTGAATCAACTTTATTCAACATTTTTGAGACCCGGCAGCTTCATTCCTGCTCCGTGCCAGAGTCGAGACACATTTTCATTTTGCGTGAGGCTAGTATTGTGCAAATGCGAATACTAACCTCGCGGCCGGCCGGCGGGGCTAAGTCGTCGAGACCATGCGGCGCAGTCCATCTTACGCTGTGCGTCGTGGCGGTTTGCGTCGCCAGGCTGCTAAGCGGCGCGGCCGAGCCGAGGCAGCGCTGCGAACACGTGTCCGCCGCCACAATACGGCATGGCTGGATTTCCGGCCGCAAATGGCGCCAGTCGTAACTGCCACTTGGCTTTCGCGGTGCCCGGCGGTGCCCGGCGGTGCCGGAGCCCGCTTGCCCGGAACACCCCTCCGGAGCACTCAGCTCCGGTACGACCCAGAGCATGCCCAGGGTGTGGCGTGGCGGGGTTGGGAGCAGGGCCTCCATTCTGCGGCCCGGCTAGAGAGGGTCTTATCACCTGGGCCCTCGGCAGGCCCTGGGCCGGCCCTCGCGGATCGCAGCGTCGATGTCCCCATTCTGGGAATCGGGCGGCCCTCCCTCGGCCCTCCCACGGCCCGCCGGCCGCTGGCACTGATGGATCGCTTCCAAGTGTAAATACTGATCGGGGCTCCGGCGCCTTTTCGACAGAACAAAAACACCGCCATCGCTGTGCTCATTACAGGCGGCGCTGCCACCTACGGGGAGTTGGGCAAGCTGGCAGCTCTGCGCGCCGGTGAGCCGGAGGCGGTTGGGCGGAGGGTTTACACGAGCCATAAAACGATGAGCTATTTCCCGAAGTTCGCTGCACCCAACTGACACGGTCGGAGCAGTAAATCCCAATCGAGCTCCGCGTCTGGCCGGGCTGGCGACGGGCTTGGCGGGGCAGGGCGGGGCGTGCCGTCCTACCTGAGGCTTTGCCTCCCCGCGACGCCCTGCGACGCCCTGCGACGCCTGCGTGCCGCGCGAGTTTCGGTCCCAACTAGCTGACTGAGTTCTAAGGCGGCAGGCCAACAGACGGACGGACGGACAAGCGGACGGGCAGACAGACAGACAGGCAACGGGCAGACAAAGGCCGGGAGTGGCAATGCCGGGACGGATCCCCTTCGAACGCGGTGGGCCTCGGGGCGTAGCTGCGGACGCGATTTGTATGCGTGATTCGTCCGTTGCGCAAGGGACGGGAAGTGGGAGGGGGGCGGGTGGGATGGGGGCGGCGCACGCCCTGGAAGGTAGACCGCTGGGAGGCGCGCGTCGCGGCAAATCCAGTGCGCCATAGCCAGCTATAGCCAGCCAGTCCATGACTGCAATACAGGTGCCTCGGTACGTCGGCCCCTCCCACACTGCAAACAAAAAGGGCCTAGATTGGGTTCAAGTTTTGCTTTTGAATTAGCTGTGTGATGCAACAAAGTTTCCACTACGTATTTTGTGTTTATTTCTGCATTGAAGATACATGACGAGTAAGTTTTCCGGGTGACACTCAGTTGTACAGCGGTTTTTGCGGTTTTTTGTCTCTGATTGCTGATTTCCCTGCATCGCCGTATGTATTCGCAGGGCTTGGGCCACTTAAATGCCCCGGGTGATTCTGAGGGGGCTCTGCCACCCCCGCGGAATTCCCCGGTATCGTTTCCTCGAAAGGCTTCTCGCTGACCCACTGCGACCGTGGTTGCCCCGGACTCCCCGGGTCCCCGCGGCGTGTAGGGTTGCACTTTGGCTCCACTGGTGCCGGGACGCAGCCTCGGCCAGTAGTACCCTGTGAGGGCGTGGCACCCGCTGCGAGCAAAGCCTTTAAACCACGTTGTTGTTTTGTTCCGCAGGGCCAGCCCGTGCTGCACAACCTGTCCCAGGGCGTGATCCTGTCCTCCAAGTCGCTGGTGCTGCAGCGCGTGGCGCGAAGGCAGGCCGGCGGCTACACCTGCCACGCGTCCAACGAGCGGGGCAACACCACCAGCAGGCCCGTGCACCTACGCGTCAAATGTGAGTTTTCTGCTTTCCTTCGCCGGCAGCAGTCGTGCCTCTTGCAGGGGTGTACCCTTTCTAGCCAGCTCCGCAACTAGCACAGGCTAGGATGTCACTTGTATCAGTAGAGCAGCGTCTTCGGTTTCCTGGCTCTGAATAGAGATGTCGGGCGGCAGTGCCCCAGTTTCTCTGATGATGACAGACAGCCCCGTGAACTCCACATTCCCCGCATACTTCCCGATAATAAATTGGTAATAATCCGCCTGGAACGGAGCAGCTAGGCTGCAATTTCAGCCGAAGCACCTCGGATTCTAGAGGACTTGGAGGCAGTGCTGACAATCCCTCCCTTCAAAGACTGTTGGACGTGTTTGCAGCCGTGGCTCTGGCACGCCTCCAGAGCAGCAAACGCGTAGTTCGCGTGCCTAGCCCCCCACTTCCGGCCGTCTGCATGCAAGTGATGAAGTCCTTGATTAAGTTGTCCAAATTAGCCGAGGAAGAGGTGCCGAAGAAAACAGTGTAGCGTTCTATTTGTTTTTTGTGTTTTTTGTTTGGATTAAAAGAGCTGACAGAACCGAGTGATTTGGAAAGCAGGGCACATCCTATGAACAGTATCAATATTGTTGGCTTTGCTATGATGAAAAATAACCAAACTCAACAAACCAGCAACTCATCGTACCGGAGAGGAACGGAGGAAAACATTCCTCATTTATTTCCGAACGTGCATCGACAGGGTGGGCGGGCTGAGAGCGCGGTGTCGGGAAAGAATGTCAAAAATGCGAGGTTGGCGCGGCGCGGCCCCCCGTCTCGCCGACTGGCGTGTCTGCAAATGCAAGGGTGCGTTCACCTGCGGCTGACGCGCCCCTGCGCTGTGTTACTCCAACAACTTTCCGATATCCGTCTCTCAGACGCGGAGTCTCGCATCGCCGACCCGCGGCACCTGCGGAAAAGCACACAATAATGGTCCCGAGAGAGAATTTAACTCGTTCTTTCAACCGGCGAACGCAAAAAATATTTCTCCTGGCGGTTTTTCACTCTGCGAGTAGTGTGCTTATGCGTGTTCAGTTGGGACGTTCCTGGTCAGTGCTGTCGTTCTCCAGGCGCGTGTTCGTGCAAAACGGAGGGGTGTAACCCTGTCCTCGCGGTTCGAGTCGACCGACGCGACCGGGGGGGGGGGGGGGGGGGGGGGGGGGCTCGGCAACCCCGCTACCCGACCTCGCGCAGACATGAACTGGCTGACAGCGATATTGCTAAACACGTGTTTAACATGCGAGTCTAGCGCAGTCACACTCACACACACACACACACACACACACATGCGCTTGCTGCTTGACACACAATGGCGCACGACGAGTTGATGTGGCGTTGTTGCTGTGTCGTGCGTGTGCATACTGTACTCGAGTATGAGTGTGTGTGTGTGCGCGTGCGCGCGCGCCCGTCCGTGTTGGCGAACGGGTGTGTGCTTTGGGGCGATAGCGCCATAGATGACGTGGACCCAGTCCAAATCTGCAACACATGGTGAAGCCGTCAAACTAAGGTGAAGTCGTGCCGAAGATTTCAGGAATGAAAATTGGAACTAAATGCGGCCGGTCTCTTGGCCTGCATCCCTATATAGAAGCGGTCGCACCACCAAAAAAGAGCTCTGTCTCGGTTTCAACTTCCTCCGCGGGGGATAAATTACTCCCGCGCGACGACAGCTGTATTTTTGCGATCCCCGCCTCTTTTTGGTGGTTCCCGGTGAAGCCGCCCCCGGTGCAGCCGGGAGAGGGAGACGGGGAGGGTGAGACGGGCGCTCCGCTGCTTCGCGCAGCCTTTTCAATACGCCGCCAGCTCGCTGCCAGCGCTGCAGGTGTGGGGGCACGCCGGGCACGCTTGGCCGGATCAAGTACGCCTGTCTCGATATCAAGTTTCGCTCTGGGCCCGGGCCCCCCGGGGGAGCGGCCATAAACCACCAGGGGAGGAGACAGGCTAGGTCAAGAAACGGCGGAGGGAAAACACACCACGTCGTTTACGGACGGTCCTCGTCGTTTGCTCCATGAAGCACCGTTCCGCTTCTGTGAGTTGTTAATTGCTGGAAAACATGTGAAGTACGTGGAGCTCTGATCCGCTTTCCGAAAATGGCGGCGTCGCTCCTAAGATTTGCGTCGCCGTACAAAGCTTCCCTTTCTCGGGGGAAGAGGGGGGGGGGTGCTTTGGGAATGCGCCGAGCCTGGGTATAAAACGGCGGGGTGGGGCGGCGCGCCGTCAAATTGGTTTGCGAGTGAACAGGAAAGGGACGCGAATACTGTGTGTGTGTGTGTGTGTGTGTGTGTGCGTGCGTTGTGCGGGTGTTGGGGTGAATGTGCCGACGACGAACACACCACACGGTCTGCGTCGTACAAGCCGCTGCCCCGACAGTGTGGGCCGGGCCGCGGCTCCGCACGGTATGGAGACTCACAGCGACGAGAGCCTTTCTGGAGCACAGCAGTGCGCAGCAGGGTCCAGACATGAACAGGCGCGGCATATGAGGCGCAGTGCGATGGCTGCCAGCCTGGACTGCCTGTTTGGACTGTCTGTTGCGTCGCGGTGCTATGCAGCTTTCAAGTGCATTATGTCCTGCCCACGACTGCATTGCTCTGTCTGATTCCGAGCGTTTTAACAGTGGCGGGGGGGTGGCAATTTCTTTTGTCCGTTTTTCGGTGTTGGATTTCCTCTTCGGGGGATTGAACCGCCTCTCGAACTGAGTGAAACATATCGCTCGGGCGCGGCCTGCGACCCGGCGCCCCCGCCTATCCGAGCCGAGCTGTTTCCGGGGAGCCCCTCCCTCCGTCCCTCTCGCACCCCCACGCAACGGCCCAGGGGGGCGACAAAGACGGAGTGACGAGAAACGCCTCCCCGGAATCAGTCTACCGCTGCAACGCAACGTAACACAACACAATGCCTCCGGGACGCGCCGTCGTGACATCACCTCACCCCCCATCACAGCAGCCTGTTGCCCAGAGTGCGCCCCCGCCCTGACTGACTGTGTGTGTGTGTGTGTGTGTGTGTGTGTGTGTGTGTGTGTGTGTGTGTGTGTGTGTGTTTGCGCCGCGTTTGTGTTTTGGGCTGCTTCGCTTCGGAAAGTTCACATGTCCCCCTGTCACGGCAGAAAAGAGCCCGGGCAGGGAAGTGCTTTTCGCCCTCTGCCGTGGAGGGGCTAACGGACGGACGAAGAGGAGCAACAAAAAAAAGATGCGGAAAGGGGGGGAGGCCACTCCCATGCCCACTTTGAAGCCATGACACCACTGTAATGCCTCCAGGGGGCGTTGAGAGGGCGACACGTGGAGAGCGTCGTGTTTTGCGTGTTGGGCGCCGAACGTGCGTCGGGGCCTAAGTCGAAGCCCATCGGACTGGGGATGACTGCTTGCCTGTTATCACGGTTTCTGCGGGACTCTGTTGGCTGCTGCACAGTTCGGCAAAGTTGTACCGATCCTTGCATAGCTCCGCAAACTGGGTCAGTCGGGTCGAGCTTTATGGCAAATTCGGCTTTCGCGAGCCGCGGTCTTGGGGATCGGCGGAACTGTGCGGCCGAAGCCGAGGCGGAGCATGCAAGAAGTGGTCGTTATATGTAACCGCGTCATTTTGGTTCTGGTTTTTGAAATTTTCATTTTACGACCGGTTACAACAGACCAGACACTATGGACAAAAAACATTTAAGGATAAAAGTTTGTCTTGTTAGTATGAATTTTTTTTTAGTTGTTGCGTTGAGAGATGGATAATAAGCAGGTTTCACTCAGCCTCGCTACTGACTTTTGCGTGTGTGCTTCACCAAAAAAAGTGCTGCTATTCAGGGTTGTTAAAGTTAATTTAACGATTAACGACGATAATCGATTTTCGATAAGTTAATTCAACGGTTAACGTTAACTCGATAACATCTTGCAGACCAGTTATCGTTATCGAGTTATCGTTAACACAATCCCGGTTAACTTATCGATTAACTAAAGTAACTAATTCCCCCAAATTGTAGAAATGCACGCAAAATTTTTCAGCAAAGAAAACGTTTCTGACGTTCGTATTTTTGCGCCGCTGGCACTCCGCCGTGCCCAATCGCCGGCCTCAACGGTAATGGGAGTCAAGTCAGTACTGGGAGTAAGTCGTCGCTAGTCACTTAGTAACGCGCTAGTCAGTCAGTGTAAGTTTGTAGAACTTTCAATTTTGATCTTTTTAACTCCCTATTTCTAATTTTATTCATTTTATCAGTTAAAGATGGGTAATGCATACATAATAGTCCAATTAGACATTACTTTTGGGCATTTAATGTTGTGTTTTATTGTCCTTCATTACTCCATTTAAAAAAGTTAGTTACTTTTAACGATTTTCGTTAAAAGTAACTTATCGATAACTCGATAATGTGGCTGAGAGGTGTTAACGTTAACTAGTTATCGTTAACAGGAGTCGGAAATTAACTTAACGATAACTCGATAACCAAAAAAATTAACTTTAACAACCCTGCTGCTATTCTTCTCGTTCCTTCATTTATGGGGAGACTCCCGTCCCCCGGCCCATCGGTCACCACTCCCCTCCGTCCCTCTTCGTCCAGGGGAGGTATCTCGCACGCCTGTGTGTGTGTGTGCGTGTTGTGTTGTGTGTGGCCCGGCTGGTTTATCGCCCTGGGGTCGCGGGTTCGATCCCAGGCGTGGCGAAAGTGCTCCTGCGGTACATTTCTCATCCCAGGGTAGGCCTCCCTGGTCGCTGCCTGCTCCCCGGCCGCCTCTCGACGGCCGACTCGCTGACTCTTTCATTCTCGCCCCGGAGACGCGCCCCCTCTTGCAGCACCTTGCCTTCTCCTCAGACGCCTCACACTGCAAGTGGAAAGGGAGGGTCTCCTTTGCAAAGGGACCGCAAACCGCGGTAACAATCCCCCCTCGCGCGTTGACACTCCCCTTTGACCGACTTGACATTGTGGTCCAATCTGCCCCGCCAAATACACAGAGTTGCGCCGAGTACCGCAGTTCCAACTCGGATCAAGTACATCCCCGCCGCACTAGCCATAACCTCTCCTC